TTGCATGCATAAACACCATGTGTCTGGGGTGTCGGAAGAAGCCAGAAGAGGGTGTCAGTACTTTGTTGCTGGGAGTTATAGGAGGTTGTTGTTAGGCTACCCTAAGATGGAGTATTCTAAGATACTGAGACCAATGACACCATGTGGGAACCAATCCCTTCAGAAAAATGCAAACTAGGCCGTCTGGATTTCTCAGAAGTCTGCTGACCCCTTATCTCACAAGAACAACTTGACCACAGGCTTCTGCTATCCTAATCGCCAGGGGCTCTCCTCATAAAAGTTTGCTTACAGAAGTCCTTTTTGGCTACTATGGTTCTTTTCCCCTTACCATTATCCTTCTCAACTAAAATCTCCCTAGCTATAAAACTTCAATAAAAACCTATAAAAATTCCCATCCATGGAGCTGCTCTCCCTTCTTTTGGAGACAGCCTGGATGTTCATTTCCCTAAATAAAGCTTTATCTTTCAGCCTCAGTGGGGCTCTGGTGGTCTAGCTCTTTAAGTCTGACTGTTGAGACACCAACATTGGTGCTAGGAATCACATGTGTCCTCTGAAGGTCGGGAACTGCTCTTAACCTCCGGGTCACTTCTCCAACCCCACATATGTACATTTTAAGGAGCCAAATGCAAATTAGCACCTAATTTGCCACCAACCTAAGCACTCTGGGATCTTGAGGACAGATTGACACTGGCCTACAGAATCAAGGCAAGTATGCATGGATGGCTCTTCCATAAAGTAGCACCACCGCCCAGCACTTCTCCCCAACCCCCCTCGATAGCAAAGTCATCGCTCTTGGCTGCTTCTGGAAATTGCTTTTCCTGACCTATACAACTGAGACATCTCATAGCTACGAAAGCATAAGGCCTTAAAACACACTGCTAAGCTCCACAGCTTGAATCCAAAACATTTCCTGGAGTAGCAAGGAGGTGGCAGGGCCCCTCCGCCTTAAGTAAACATGCAAGATATAGGGGGAGAAGATTCCCTAAAGCAAACCATATGACGAACAGGCTCCAAATACAGATTTGACAGCCAACAGTTTTATGGAGCTTGGGGAAATGACTCAAAAACATACAGTCTGGGGAAAACCCCAAGCACTTCTTTCTGCTCATTATCTTTTTTCTTCTAGAAGGTCACATCATAAGTAGTTTTCCTCAAGATAATCATAGAGAATGACTATTTTGAAAATACTCGGTGGCACCAAAACTGCTAATTTGATACCTAATCTGGTTTGAATTAGCATATACTTGATGAGGGAGAACGCTGGGTCTGGGGATGTAGTTAGGTTGGTAAAGTACTTGTCCGCCAAGCACGTGGATCTGAGCTTGAGCCCCATAAACTATGTAAAAATGCCCAGCAGGACAGAATGGTTTTTGCAGTCCCAGCACTTCAGAGGACAAGCAAGGTGTCTTGGGGCCTGTATAGGCCAGCTAGCCTAAGCTGCTTGTTAAGTTCTAGGTCAGCAAGACCCTTCTCAAAAGAGGGTGGCTAGTGCTTCTAAGAATGACACCTGAGGTTATCCAGTAGTTCACACGCATATGAATACACGAACACCTTAAAAGAAAGAAATCTGAAACCAGGAGTGATGGCACCTGTTTGTAACCCCAAGATTTGAGAGTTGGGGCAGGAGGATCAGGAGTTTGAGGCCAGTATGGCATATATTATGAGATCACACCCAAATCAACTCATCAATTAATTTGATTGATCAATTAGAACTGGGGGAGTAGCTGTGATACCTTACCCTGCCCAGCATGTGAGAGCCTTGATATGCTCCCCAGCATCAAAACAAAACAACAAAAAAAGAGAAAGAACAAAAAAAGTTAAGTAGTCTTTTATAAATTTACAAGTTCTCAGGTTTTGAAGACTGAAATTTTTGTTATTTTCTAGAATCTGTTTCATCTAAAAATGTCTACGATCTGTAACTTGCTGAGTTCTGAATGTAGGGGGGACAGCAAGAAGAAAAAGGGACCCTCCTCCCCAAATACTGACAGCTTAGTCCAGATACCATCATGTCTGATACGTTGAACAGTCTGGATGCTCTCAGCAAAATGGATTCCAGAGCTTTCTGAAAACCTGAATATTTTGTAAACTTGTCAAAGATATTATTTTGTGCTGGAAATCAAATCAAGACTCTCATACGTGCCAGACAGACTACAGTGCCACAGAACTTTACAGCCATGAAGTTAACCTGTGGGAACCTGTTCTCTCCATCAGAGGACACAAGCTGAAGCATGTCCAGCGTCTGAGAAATGCAACTCACAGCCTGCTCCTAAGGTCCTTGTCTTCATCTCTTTGTTTGGCCTGATTTGTTTTGTTTTTTGACGGGGTCTCTTTGTATGACCCTGACTGGTCTGGAATTAGCTCTAGACACCAGGTTGGTCATGAGTTTATAGTGATCCTCCTGCCTCTGGAGTTCACCATTACTTCTAGTCTTTCATCTTATTTTGTAATATGATTTTCTCTGCCATTTCTTCCTTTCAGACATTTTTACCTTGGTAAAAAAATTTCAGACATCTCTGACTTGCTTTTTTAATCAATGCTCACAAATACACAAATATATATATTTCACAAATGTAGAAACCTTTATTATGATTGGTGGAGCTAAGAAGAAAGGAATAATTGTGCAGACACAGCATTGGTTTCTCAATAATGGATTTTATTGGTGATATGACTGATTCATTCAAAAACATCAATAGTTTTACATTTTATATTTCATGATGATGATTTAAGCAACTAAAAACATTCAGTTCCACCTACTCTACACAACCTCTTCCAACCAAAATCATGGGAAGAGGAAATAAAGACACTTAAATGAACTCTACTAGATAAATGACACAAACACATGTTTAGAAATAATAATGTTCCCAGGTTTCAAGGTTGAAACCATTATTTTGTTTTGTTCTGTATTTTAAACCTTGGCTTCAGAAGAGCCTAGGCAATTGCCTATAAAATAATCTTTTAAAATTAATTTATTTCTAACAAATGATACATATAATCTTGATTGACTTAAGAACTAGAATCCCATTTTATTTGTGAATGTGATTACTAAAAATTTTCTATTAAAGACATCAATAATAGCATTAAAATTAGTGTTTACTAACAAACATGACTTCAACGTAAACAAAGCCTGTATCTCTCCAAATGAACTGGAATTGTACTCTTCTGGAGTGTCTTAAGGTTTTACTTCCAGGTTCCCTTTTTAGTTCTTTTGAATTATTTATCCCATTGTATGAATTTCTTTTGCTTTAAGTCATATGGAAAAACTCTAAGAATAAAATCCACTGAGTCACAGTAAACAGACACTATACAAGCCCTGTGGCAGGCATTGGGACACCACAGCATCAGACATAGTTCAACAAGTGCAATGTTACAAAGGTGAGGTAACACGAAGTGTGGAGGCTTCACAGCATTGACTTGAGGCTCTGGAATTTTAGAATCCTAGTTTTATTCCTGTAGTGAGGCAAAAAGTAAAAAAAAAAAAAAAAAAAAAAAAAATATCCCAAAAATTCCCTTTTAATTAAAATTGAGCCCCACTATAATAAGAATGTTTAGATGAATAATATCAAATAGTTGATTTTTTTAAAAAAAGAACTTGTAATTTAAAAAATGAATTTCCAGTTCTGTAAAGTTCAAGAGTTCATCTAGTATAAAGCAGACCAGGCTGGATGTGTTGACTACCGCTGACCTCAGGCTGGGGTTGCTGCTTGTTGGATCCCTAGACTACTGTTTTAACCCTGTGTTTTCAAGATGGAAAAAGAAAAACTGCTTAAGTCACAGCGGTTTACACAAATGACATGTCACCAGGTACCACTGGTTTTAGATTTAAAAGATGTCTCATCTCATAAGTAAGAGCCTTCCTACTAAAAGAACCATTGGTAAATCCTGGGTCCAAATTGAGAAAAGAAATCAGAAGCCAGTATAGAGGGCATCAGCTGCACCCATCATTGCTGGTGGTCCATGGTTTCTATTGGTCCAACACAAAACCCAGCTTATCTACTGATCTTTGGCTTTTCTTTTTTCTTTTTTTTTTCAAGACAGGGTTTCTCTGTGTAGCCCTGGCTGTCCTGGAACTCACTCTGTAGACCAGGATGGCCTCAAACTCAGAAATCCGCCTGCCTCTGCCTCCCAAGTGCTGGGATTAAAGGCGTGCACCACCACCGCCCGGCATATTGTTTGTCTTTTAGTGAAAACACAGCTCTTTTCAAATACTTCATGTGGACAAAAGCATACTTGTCTACTTCTTTCCCCCTCACCAAGACCACAAGAGAGGAAGAAACTAGCAACTAGCAGATTAAGAAAACCCAGTGGGCAGATAACATGAATCCTCAAGGCCAGAATGCCGCCACCTGAGACACAATCGGATCCAGTAGGCAGAAGCCTTAATTTCTTGGGACAGAGCCAATGCTGGCTTTAAACTTGTAGTAGATTCTCTGCTTCCCTTGGATGCCTACTTGGCCCTTCCTAGTTTTCTGTACTAGTTACAGGTGACTGGGTCACATCAAAGACCCAAAACACAGATATAGGGTCCTAAAACAGCAATGTGTGTGCAGCTTGACATGTGAACAGTCTGGGAAGACAAGATAAAGAAAAAATATGTATCTGTAAAACTGAGTTGTCTTCTCCTTTTAAAAGAGATAAGTTCTTGTTATCTTGCCCAGCCTGGCCGTTATCACACGAGCTTAAACAATCGCCCTTCGTCACAGGCTCAGGCTACACACCCAGCTGGTTCCTTCTTAGTAACTGAAGAATATTCATAGAAATCAGTGAACTAGAAACAGTCCTTTCTCCACCTTGCTTTTGAAAACATGTATGCATAGTTATAAGCAAAACTTAAGACAGAGCTATTCATGCCAAACATGTTTTTTAAGCTCCCTGAGATAATGTGTGGAGACTCACTACCCAAAATCACAGCAGGAAGGAAATTATTTATAAGGATAAGTTAGAGTAAAACCAAACATCTATTCCAAAACACCCCCATAGAAGATAAGATCATATCTTTGTGATTGGTTTTTGCTAGAAATTTATTCATGTCAAGAAAATTATTGTGTTTAAAAATTTCAAGAGACTTTTGGCACAAGTCAAATGTCATTTAGATTAAGTACCTGGGTTCTTTGATTAGTTCTTGAGGCTGATGTTTTTCATTGGCCTCTTTCACAATCACCAGGACCCCCTCTGTCCATAAAATCTTCCCTTAACTCGATCCATCCTAAGTTGGTCCTCACATTTACTCTAAAACACTTAATGTATCAATCTCTCTTGTCACTATATTCTGTAGGATTCATGCAGCTTCCCCAACAGGAAGACTTTAAAGTCATTGCCCCAAGGAGGACCCCATAGGAGAGAAGGGAAACAGATGAGGGTACAGTTTGTACATCCTCATCTTCCCCAGGACAGCCAAACAGTGCTTAATGTTCTAAGGTCTCCAGGGCTTTATGCCTCAGATGCTCATCCAAACACTGGATGGCAAAGGGGTCGACATCCATGTCAAACTTATTGGCAAAAAAGTGATGCATGTGCAGCATCCAGCTCAAGTCACCAGCTCCGAAAACGCACACAGAGCGCACATGGACTCCACTGCATGGTGGGTAAGGCGCGCCATTGAAAACGTCGCCTTCGAAGTATTGCCACTTGACAAACCTAGCGACAGCATTCATGTCAGACAAGTCATACTTATGGCTTGAGGGGAGAGAACCAGGGACATTGGGGATCCTCTGGATGGTGGCCCAGAGGAACTCATCTGGGCTGTATGTGTCCTGTGCCCATTCCATGAACTTTTGAATATTTTCATTTTCCAGCACATAGCCTACATATTCCCTACTGACCACGAAGTAGGCACTGCCTGAAAAGAGAGGGGTTTTGAGTGGAGGCTGTGCTTTGACTACTCCAGTGTTTGTCAGCTTCCCATCAACAATGGCGTATTGTTTTTTCCATCTCTCTTCCTTGTTTGGAGGCATCTTCTCAGTTTCCAGGCTGTTTTCCCCTGTGAAGGACTTGAGCTTCCTGACAATTTCCAGGTTGGTTTTAATAGGGAAATCCATACCACAAAGATTGATCAAGTACTTCCAATTTGCACTCATTCTATACAGGTCCTTCATGCAGTTGAGGTCAGCCTTAACCCGACTCCAGGATGCGTAAACAACACTCTCCAACTGGCTGGCCACAAAGACATTATCAAAGCAGGATGTGATGCCCAGCACCGCGGCTAAAAAGGATTCCTCTGCTTTTTTGTCCACGTGAATGCAGTAGAAATTCTGAGGCATATAGATGGCCCTCAGGAGCCTGTCAAGCATTTCAATCTTATGATGAACCACTATGGAATATGCAATTGGAAAGCCTACTTCTTCTTTAGTAAGGGGCTCCATAATATATTTGCGTGTCCTGATGAAAGAGGCACAGTCACGGGTCATGTTTATATAGTCATTCGGTGTCCACCTCGGGCGCTTCTTGAATTGCACTGTTAGTATCTCAAGCTTCACCTTCTGGATTTCTTCTGGGTCACCCTGTAAAACTTTGGTGCAGTTAACATTGCTATGGGGATCATCTCCAGCAAGATCCAAGTGTCTGACACTAACAAACTCAGGCTTCTGATGAATTCTTAAAACAGAGAAGGTAATTAGAGAGAGAACAAGAAACATAAAGTAGTATTTTGTAGGATAAGAAAAAAGTCTCCTCCGAAACAAGTTTCTCAGCATTTCAAAGAACAGTCAGAGGCTTCCTGGTGTGGTGGGACAGTCGTCTAGGCCTTGGATGCCAACGATGTGTTGTGGTCAGATAAAACGCCAGTTTATCAGAGAGACAAGATATCACTTCACAGGACAGAGCTAAAAACAAAACAAAACAAAAAAAGATAACAAAGTACATATTTAGTAAATGCCATCATTACAGTGTCTTCTCGGGTTCAAAACTATCCCCTTTGCTATGAAGCCAGATTTTGTTTAAAACAAACAAACAAAAAAAAGAGGTTGACTTAATTAGAGAATAGAGATGGCTTCATAATAGACCTATTGTTCTCATATTAAAGCCGGAAACTGGGGTAAAAATAAGCATCAAACCTAGTATAAGGATATCCTAAAATATCCTACAATAGATATCTGAGGTTCGATGTGGTGGCACCAACCTTTAATCCCAGCAGTTAGGAGCCAGAGGCAAGTCTGGTCTATGTAGTGAGTTCCAGGACAACCAGAACTACAAAAAGAGAGACTGTCTCCAAAGCTGGAAAACCTGACCTGGAGATATATGGGAGTTCAGGAGCACAAGTGGACGTTGTGGCTGTAACATCTCAACTGTGCACATGCCAGTACTCTGCTGGTTTGAGAATAAGCACCTCTATCTTAATATCATAAGTTCCTCCCAAGGACATCACCAGGCAGGAGACAGGTGCAAGGGTCAGATCCATCTTGCCTTTTGCTGATTTAGAGTGGTGACACACTTAGAGAAAAGCTTAAAAACAATTGTGAATATGAAAACCCTGGAAGCAAGACAATTCTGCTGAGTATTCAAAAAGGACTGAAAAGGCCTAGCTGAACTGAAGCCAGATTGGTGATTGTGTTGAGTTGACCCCTAAATGTAGTTCCATGGTGATAATATGTTCAATGGACAATACAGATTTGCATCTCCCACATAAACTCTGACAGATTGTAAGCCCTTACAAAAAACAATACTTGGGCTTGGGGTGTAGCTTAGTTGGTAGAATGCCTGCTTGGCAGGCAGAAAACATGGGATTCAATGGCCAGCACCACATAAAATCAGATGCAGAGCTCATCCATAACCCCAACATTCTGGAGGTAGAGGCAGAAGGATCAGAAGAACAAAGTCATCCCTGGATACATTATAAGTTTGAGGCTACCTGAGTAAAAACCAACCAACCAACTTATGGTAGATCTAAATTCAAATACCAAGAGCCCAAACAACTTTTAATATATAAAATGCTTATATGTGAAATAAATAATAAATATTTATATATACCACATAGTATATTATGTTTATAAATTTTAATTATTTATATAAAATATAAAATAAAATAAATATAAGTATATTTATATTATTACATAGTATATTATACTGTATATTAGTATGTATAAGTATATTATAGCATACTATATACAATTAGTATATTATATATTAGATAATATATATTATATAGTATACTATATATACTAAATAAATAGCATCAGATAGTATGTGTATTCAGGCACACATGTGGAAGAATGAGTATACATATGCTTGTATATATGTATTGTTTCTCAGTTGCATTTTGACATGTCTTTTTGCAACAGAGTCTCTCATTGGCCTACAGATGACCAAGTACAGCAGGCTGGCTAGCCAGTGAGTCCCTGGCCCTGACTTTATCTGCCTCTCAGCACTGAGATGGCAAACTATACAACTACACCAGCTTTTTTTCTTTTTCTTTTGGTCATGGACTACCATGGCTGGCTTGGAGTAAATTTCTGACACCAAAATAAACAATGCCTCTTGAAAATATTTCATTAGGAAGTAACCTGTTACTACTAGTAAGATAAAGTGAGAAATAAATAAATCACTGGTCACTGTAAGTATAGCATAACATTAAGAAGGTAAATGGATAGAACTTGAGAATATCATCCTGAGTAAAGTACCTTAGACCCAAAAGAACATATACAGCAGGAATCTAGCATGGCTGTCTTCTAAGAGGCTCCACCCAGCAGTGAACTCAGGTGGGGATGCAGAGACCCAGAGCCAAACAGTAGATGGAGCTTGAGGACTCTTATGGAAGAATTGGAGGAAGGATTGCAGGTCCCAAAGCGGTTAGGGACTCCACACAAAGACCAACAGAGTCAACTAATCTGGATCCTTGGGGCCCTCAAACATTGAATTACCAACCAAAGAACATACATGGGCTGGAACTATCCACTCCTACTCACTCCTAAAAACACATATGTAGTAGATGTGCAGCTTGGTCTTCATGTGGACCCCTAACAACTGGAGCTGGGGGCTAGCCCAAAAGCTGTCGCCTGTCTGTGAGATATATACTTCTAGCTGGGCTGCCTTGTCTGGCCTCAGTGAGAAAGGATGTGCCTAGCAGAGACTTGATGTGCCAGGGTAGGCCGGTACCCATGGGGGGAGACCTCCATCCTCTCAGAGGAGAAAGGGAGAAAGGAGAGGGAGAAGGATTGTGGAAGGGGGTGACTTGGAGGGGGACCTGTAAGCAGCATGAAAAGTGAATAAATTAAAAAAAATAGAATAAAATAAGTAAATAAATAATTTTTTAAAAAGAAAAAAGAAAAACATTCGGACTTCATTTTACCATTTAGAACCACAGGAAGTCTGAATCTGTCGAGGCTCTGATCCCCAGTGACATCCTGTACTTGCTCAGAGGGGCTCTTGTGCTGCCAAGTTTCTCTTGAGCACCAGGCATCCAGCGATGATGACATGTCCCAGCAGGCTTTCCAACAGTCTGTCAAACAGAGAGGGAGGGGAGGGAAGGGGCGCTAATGGTGTGTGTGCTTGTCATACGCACACGACCAGGAAGCAGCTATTCCAGTGTGTTTATCCGCTGCCCCTCCATCAAACACGTGGCTCACCAAGGCCTCTAGTCTTACTTCTTTTTCTAATACTATGTGGGATTTAGGTTAGACTTTTTTTTTCTTATTTTCTCTCTCCCTCCTCCTTTGAGAACCAAAGCAAGGGCCTAATGTATGCTAAGTAAGCTGCATGTGTTAAGCTTTCTAAAATAAACTCCAGCAACATTCCGGAAATGAGTGTCAGGGGATAGATTAACAGTCTAATCTAACCGGGAAATCCCACCCATTTCGTCCTTGCTATGAAGGCTTCCCAATGCTCACCGACATATTAGCAACAACCTCACAGGTAAGTAAGCTGTTCACATCATTTTCTTACAATTGCCGATACTTGAAGTTTCTATTACTAACATATCAACAATGGGGTGGGGGTGGAGGATGCCTTGAGAGAGGGCTTGCTGCTCTTCCAGCCAACATGAGTTCAGTTCCCAGACAACCGTGACAGGTGGCTCAAAACCACCTGTAACTTCAGGGTCCATGCTCACGCATAACCATATCCAATAGATACAATTCAAAATAAAGTATTAACTTGAAAATATCAATATTAACTTACAAATATCAATAATAAACAATATTCCTCTAAGTAATTCTTGCCCCATTTTAGTTTAGGGAAGAAGAAAAGAGCTCCTCTGACCAGCCATTCGCAGATCAGGAAGCTAACTAGACAGAGACTTCCTCCTTTCTTTTTCTCTTCCTGAAACAAAGTCTAACTGTGCAGCCAAGGCCTTCTGTGAATCTGTAATCCTCCAGCCTCAGTCTCTAGGGTGCTGGGATTACAGAGCTGATTAGAGACTTAAGTGGCTTCTCACAACAATACAGCTTCTTAAAAAACAACAACAAGAAAAACAAACAAAGGGCACTTAACAAATAGTAGTCACAAGAAGGGTAGAAGATGTGAGTTCCAGAATCAACACTGTTATCACAAGACGCACAGATACAACAGACACTTACAAGGCATACACAGAGACCAAAAAATCAGCCCCATATATAGGGGGAAAGTGGTCAATTCTATCTTCAAAGGCGGCCAGGCACTGGTCTTAACAGACTACGCATCCATTCAGACAAAACAGACCAAATAACTACTATACATCCATTCAAACAAAACAGACCAAATAACTACGATATATCCATTCAAACAACTTAAGAATTAAACAAAAATATGATGAGATAGCTACCAAATCAAGAAATTGAGAATGGTAGTAAAAAAAAAAATTTAGTTCTTAATAAATGATTAACCGAAGTCTGAAATGGCCAGGTTACTTACAATCACTAAACGGACTTGACACATTACAATGCCTGAACTGACCAGAGGGATTCAAAAGCAGGGTTGAGCTGACATCAAAAAGAAAGAGTCGGGGGCTGGAGAGGTAGCTCAGTGGTTGGGCATAGTGGCTATTTTTCCAGAGGAACTGGGTTCGATTCCCAGAACTCCCATGGCTGTAACTCCAGTTCCAGGAGATCCAACACCATCAGACAAAGATAGGCAAAACAACATCCACAAAATAAAATAAATCATAAAGACAAAAAAAAAAAAAAAGGCAGTGAGGCTGAAGACAAGCTAAGTGACAACATTTAGTCTGAGGAACAAAGAAAACAAATATGGCACACAGACAGTCTCTGAGACCCAGGAAACAACAAGAAAAAAAAGTGTCCTGGAAGGTGGGCAGGGGACTCCCAGAAGAACAGAAGAAAGAAAGAGGGGTGAGGGAAGAAATGGTCAATAATGGCTGAGAAGCTGTATTCAAAATTGCCAAAATGTGGACATATGATGTCCTTCAGTAAGTAAATAGATACACATACTGAGATATACCATAACTAAGAGCCTTGAGTTCACAGCTCACAGACTGTGAAGTGGAAACACACACAGCCAAGATTATAAAGACCTGGAGAGGAAGTTCCTGAGCGCAGCAGTCATTTCCATGAGACTATACAACTGATGTCTGGGTGGGACCATTCCTAAATAGGCTCAGTGTAAGGTCACAGAGACTACAGAGATGGACAGAAGCACTTCTGGACATGCTTAACCTGTACTATAAAAGGGTTTGTTGTTGTTGTTGTTGTTGTTTTGTTTTTGTTTTTTGTTTTTGCTAGAAACAAAGATGATGCTCCAAGAGGGTGGTAACAGGAGGCTCCTCCTGAGAGAGTCAGCCTCACTTGCTGGCTAATATCCACTCGACAGCAGCACATAACGGACTGACAAAGGGAAGTTAGTTATCTCAGTGAAACAGAAAGAAGCCAGTTGGAAGAGAATGCAAACTGTGTCATGCCAAATGCTTGGTGTTCTGGAAAAGACAAAACTACAGAGAGAGAGTACTAAGATCAATATTTGTCAGAGATGTGGAAGAAGGGGGAGAGGGTAAGTAAGTGGGGCTTGGTAATGACCAGAGACATTACTCCATGTGATTGTGGCTAAGAGACATTACGTACCCCTTGGGAATGATCAGCAACTAATTTCTGAGCACCAGGGTGCATCTCACCAGTTGAGCACTTGGCTGGTATGTATGAGGTGCTGGGTTTAATCCTCGATGTTGAGGAAAAGGCGGGGTGGGGTGTTAGTTATAACAAATACACCATACGTGGGGGTGGTGCTTGCTGCTCTTCTAGAAGACTGGGGTTTGGTTCCTAGCACCCATGTTAGGTAGCTACAACCACCTGGAGCTCCAATTAAAAAAAGATACAGCACCCTTTTTCCAATAGGGGACCCATATACACACAAGACACAGACATAACCAGAGACACAGGCAAGCAGACAAACAGACAGACACATATACACACATACACACACACATACACACACATACACACACACATACACACACACACACACACACACACATGAATACAAATGCAGGATGTTCATAACAAGAGAAATAGTGTGTGGTATGGAAACTACTTTTTTCTGCAATTTTTCTAAAAACCTAAAACTGTTCCATAGACATCTACTAAAATGAACTGTACCCCCTGGTTCACTGAGCTTCAGTGAATATAAACTCAAAAACTGCCAGGTATGGTGGTCAGTGCCTTTAATAGGAGTCCTTTAGGGACAAGTGTCTGAGCCATATAGTGAGACCAGGCCTCGAAAAAAAGAAAGACAAAATAAAACAAGATAAAAAAAAATCCACAAATGATTGTCATCAAAAGTTCAATGATCAGTGAAGACATTAGAAATTAGAACAGTAAAATATATATATATAAAAGAAATTAGGACAGTCCCAGAAACACTAAATTATGCTAATGTAAATGTTCTAAAAGGAATAATAAACAGAGTCATTTGGCTGAAATAGAAGGATGTTAGATATTAACCCAAATCCACACAAGTTAATACAACACAGCAGTAGTGGTGTACACACACATAAGCATGCAGACTGTTAATATATCTTCTCAGTGGCTTGGAGGACAATTAAACAAACTAATAATGCCTTTGATTTTGTACATTTATCACCATGGTAAATGGAGACAGTGGTTCATTAAAAATTTCACTACTCATCCCAACTTCAACTAGTAGAACATTCTCTTAAAGTGAGGAGACAGGAAAACACAACTTTACAGAAGAAGGGATTTCCATGACAAACAGAAGTTGGAGAGAAACATGTATGAGAAACATGTATGAATGCTATGCTAACAACTTACTGAAGATTCTTTTTATTGTTATTGTTTGTTTTGATTTTCCCTGTTTTGGTTTTTCCTGTGTAGCCCTGGCTGTCTTGGAACTCAATCTATAGACCAGGCTAGCCTTTACCTCAGAGATCTACCTGCTTCTGCCTCCCATCTACTACTGGAATTAAAGGCACAAGCCACTATGCCTTGCTAGAGATTCTTAATTTATGTAGAAAATAGAACTGAGAAGAATTGGAGAAAAATAATTCCAAAGTGAGAAGAGAGAGAAGACCCTGAAAACAGAAGCTATGAACGTGTGACTTAAACAGCACAAGACTGAGCTCTAAAAACAAACCCTTGGTTTTTTGTTGTTGTGTTGTGTTTTTGTGCCAGTAATAAGGAGAGTCGGTAAAGGAAAGAGAACAAGAGAAGAATGACATGCCTCAAGGACAATACACTTACTCTCGGGGTTACAACATAAAGTAAATAACCACCTTCATCAAGGCAAGAAGCATCTTGGTCCTCAATGGAGTAGTAAGGAAGACAAATAACATTGGATGAAGAAAGGAGTTAGAAAAACCAACTAACCAACCAACCAACCAAACAAACAAACAAACAAACCCCCCAAAACTGGAAGAATAAAGACAAATAACGGAGAAGCCATGTGGATCCCAGCCCACAGCAAACAGAAAGCATGAGCCCTATGTACACTATGGATCTTCAAAAGGTTTGGGGACTGGTGCAGGCTGGTGCACCTTTCAAGAGCTTTGGAAGCTGTTTAGGAAACACTTGAGTCTCAATCCTGGCCAAGACCCAAGGTTTCCTTTCTGCAGAAGTGGCCCAGGAAAGGTGTGTAGGTTCCCCAGCAAAAACCAGAGGGACCCAAGCACATGGAACAGATCTCGCTCTAGCTCACCTGTTTGCCCTATCAGTTCCTGGAATTTTGGTTACCAATGCAGGGCAGTTTATCTACCAGGGAATCTAGACTAAGAGGCAATGAGGCTTAAAATATTTTTCTTAACAGTGAACACTTCAAAGGAAACAGATTTTAGGAAGAAGAAAACTACCATCAGCATTCTCAGAGAGACACTATCTCTTCAAAAATGAATAGATGATGGGGTTAGTGAGAAGACACAGCAGGTAAAGGTGTGTGCTGCCAAGCTTGACAATCCCTGGCACCCACATGGTGGAAGGGAAAGACTGACTTCGGCAGGTTGTCCTCGGTCCTCCACCATGCACCATGACTCATGCACCATGACTCATGCACCATGAGTCACTC